CTCCTGTACTCTTGTAGCCACTCCATCCCCTGCTCCTGTACGCATGTTCTATGTCATTTTTACATTCTGCTTTGAGCCTATCGATTCAGCACTAACATTGTCATTGCTTAAAGCAGACGTGGGCAGCTCCAGCACTCCAGCATCCCTCTGCCTCTGGGAGTCATGCCTGTAACTGTCAGTCTTGTAATGACGCATGGGACTTGTAGTTCCACAACAGCTGGAGGGCTGGAGTTGCCCACCTCTGCCTCCAAAGTGCACCTGAGCCCAAAAATTTTAAAAAATAATAATATTTTGCAGCTTACTAAACTTTGATGTGGTGGCTGCATTAGTTTTCTTATTTCAGGCTTTGTTCTCTTGTCTTTGTCTTGGAAATCCTGCAAATAACACTCTTCCTGTCCCTGGGTGGCTACGCTCACTCCTCAAAGGAGGCAGCCATGGTTGTCACACAGGCTGGATGTCCTAGATCCTTCAACGCTGGCTGCCTCCATAGATGCAGTTGAGGAGTAAGCATAGCCAAGGCTATAGGCTAAACAGTGTGGGTGAGGAAATCTTTCCTGCCGGCTATTGTATCCTAACAGCCAGCACCCACAGCTGTCTGCATACCCAAACAGTAACTGCAGATGATCAGCTGCAGTCAATGTTTTTGTGGACATTATCCCATATTTTTCACTCAAAGTTTTTCAGGCCGGGTGGTGCCGGCAGGGCCCCTCACAGAATGAGTTATGCCCAATTCAGCAGGAAATGGCTGAAATTCCATCTGTGTCGGGCCAACTTACTTGGTATCGGCATCCATACTGATACTAGTATCGGCATCGGTACATCCCTTGCAATACCACACTATGGCCAGTAGATGGAACCGAGGAGCATTGGAAATTAATTAATTAAGAGAGAATTTTCTTTACTTTAAATTGATTCCCTCGAACTTCCTGTTGTATCTCCAAGGCAAGAAGTGAAGGTACATCTTCCCAAGGGGACAGAAAAAAAAAAACTTTACTGGGGTTTTAGGCTTCATTCACACTTGTCGTTTTTTTCTCTTTATTTGCAGAGGAAAATCTGTCAGACTAGATGCAGTGTTTATGATTCTAGATGCTTGTTACATGTGTTTACATGCGTTTACATTCATATGCGTTTAGATTCATCTGGCACCAAATCCAAGCAATAAAATGCGTTTACATAAAAAAAGTGATTGCATGCGTTAAGCATTTCACACTTTTGGCTTTAGAAATACATACAGTAATACCTTGGTTTACAAGTAACTTGGTTTGAGAGTGTTTTGCAAGACAAGCAAACATTTCTGAAAAATGTTGCCTTGATATACAAGCAATGTCTTGCAATAAGAGCAAAATTTTGTAGCAAAGCACCCCCCGAATAAGGCTGTAGCAGTGCGAGCGATGAGTCTGTCTAACGACAACACAATGTCACATTGGATAGATTCCTTGTTAAGATTTCACAAAATGAAAAAGATTCCATTGAGCCAAGAGATAGCAGTGATTCCGTTAGTGATAGTGAAAGTCGTCCTACACAATAATCCTCTCTCTCTCTCTTGTCCCCCTCACACCGGCCACTAAGGTATCTGTAACTGGTTTATTTTTCTTTATATTTTGTATTATATTACAGTACATTATTGTAATCATTTTTATATGAATATTTTTGGGTTGTGGAACGAATCATCTGAATTTCCATTATTTCCTATGGGGAAATTCGCTTTGATATACAAGCGCTTTGGATTATAAGCATGCTGCCGGAACGAATTATGCTCGTAAACCAAGGTATTACTGTATATCCTTTTTTTAACGTAAGCAATGTTTGCTATTGAGCACATTGTCTTGCAAAAACTATTTTAGATTGTATGCACCTAAAAATAAAAAATAAAATTATTTATTTATTTGTTTTGGTTTGGCCAGTGTTAATTTTCTAGCAACTAGACTTACTTTAGATAAAAATGTAAATTTTATTCTGTGATTTGTCCAGGTTTTAATGACAGTAAAATGATGCTTCTGGTACAAAGTGTGGGGAAATGATTTAAAGTTTTATTTCATTAATGCGACACTAGAAAAGTTTAAAAAAAAGTAAAAAGTCAAATAAGAACCGAAACAAATTTGCATATAAAATAAAAAAAATAGAATTAGCTAAAAAATAATATATAAAGGGGAGGAAGGAGTTAATTAGGGTTGATTTGGGAATAAAAGGATTCAATGGAAATCAATTTGTATTTAAATGTTTTATTTAATATAATTTTAAATGTATTTTAATATTTCAAATATTGTGATTCCCAGCTTTGTTTGTTACCATCTGACTTGGTGATAATCGACTGTCCCTCGGCGTCCTCGGGTCTAATATACTGTATGAGACATGATGATGGCTCACGGATCATTAGACCGCTGGGAGAAGAGGATGTGGGGAACGTTCTAGCAGCCAGGTGGCACCCTCGACCGGGTGAGTTTGTTTTTTTATTTTAGACCCTAGACAAAAATGAGCACTTAACCCTTGCAGTGCAAGAGTAGTCCCACTGCAAGAGCTAAGTTTTCATATGCCTGGAGGTCTTTAGTACTAGCATTTATGCTTTGCAGCACTGGCGTTCTTGGTTCAAATTCCAGCCAGGACACTATCTGCATGGAGTTTGCATGTCCTCCCTATGCTTGTATATACACATGCTGTAAAGTTAATTGTTCCTATTGTGTGTGTGGTTCTAAATATCCCAACTGCAGTCTTCTATGGAAGATTCTGGAAACATTTATCGAATGGCTAATGCGGCTCTGAAATGCATTTCATGCATGACGCCACAGAAAAGAAAGAAAGTGCACCAACGATCGCCATGCATTCATGGAAGGGGGATCATCTTGTTTCTGGATCTAGTCATATTTGCTCAGATACAATGCCAATTTTATCATGTCTATGGACATCTTTAACAGGTAATGAGACAGCAGCACATCACCAGAGCTGAGCAGTGTCTCGGAGTACAGGGGATAGCCCGGGGCTGGATCACACGTCACACAGGTGCCACCTTCCTGATCTGCAGATAAAGAGCACCTGAACTGTCAGCCACACACTGCTGAGAAGAAGAGCAGAGAGGAGAGGAGAAGAGCAAGGCAGAGCAGAAAGGAGAAGAGCAGAGCAGAGAAAAGAGCAGAGGTTAATAGAGCAGGGAAAGACAAGAGCAGGGCAGAACTGTGAAGGGAAGAGCAGGGCAATAAAGAGAACAGCAGAGCAGAACTATCAAGAGAAGCAAGGAGAAGAGAAGAACAGAACAGAACAGTGAAGAGCAGAGAGGAGAAGAACAGAACAGTGAAGAGCAGAGCAGAGAGGAGAAGAGAAGAACAGAACAGTCAAGAGCAGAGCAGTGAATGAAAGAGCATAGCAGAAGAGAAGTGAAGAGCAGAGCAGAGAGAAGAAAATAGTATAGCAGAACAGTGAAGAGAAGTGCAAGGAGGAGAAGAGAAAGGCATAGCAGAACAGTGAGGAGCAGAGCAGAGAGGAGAAGAGTACAGCAGAACAGTGAAGAGCAGAGAGGAGAAGAGTACAGCAGAACAGTGAAGAGCAGAGAGGAGAAGAGTACAGCAGAACAGTGAAGAGCAGAGAGGAGAAGAGTACAGCAGAACAGTGAAGAGCAGAGAGGAGAAGAGTACAGCAGAACAGTGAAGAGCAGAGCAGAGAGGAGAAGAGAAGAGTACAGCAGAACAGTGAAGAGCAGAGCAGAGAGGAGAAGAGAAGAGTACAGCAGAACAGTGAAGAGCTGAGCAGTAAAGAGAAGAGAAGAACAGAGCAGTGAAAATAAGAGCATTAACGTGAAGAAAAGAGTATAGCAGAACAGTAAAGAGGAGAAGAGAAGAATATAGCAGAACAGTGAAGAGCAGAGCAGAACAGTGAAGAGCAGAGAAGAAAAGCAGAGAAGAGCATTAAAGAGAAGAAAAGAGTATAGCAGGGCACTAAAGAGCAGAGCAGTGAGGAGAAGAACAGAGCAGAGAGAAGAAGAGCATTAAAGAAAAGAGAAGAGTATAGCAGGGCAGTAAAGAGTAGAGCAAAACAGTGAAGAGAAGAGCAGAGAGGAGGAGAAGAGCAGAAGAGAAGACTGCGCTGCATCACCTGCCCCTTGGACTGGCAGAGCACACAGCTGGCACTGTGACCAGGCAGTGCACTCAGGTAAGAAGCTGCTTTTCTATAAAGGTTGTTGGGAAAAAACAAATTGCAGCTCACTAAGCAAAGTTAATGAACTGCATGCAGAGCTGCGCAGCATCCCAAAAGATGCACTAAGATCCTAATGCCAACTTTATAAAACAGTGCAGAGCGCATGTTTTAATAAGGATGGGGTGATGCTCTTACACTGGCAGGGTACAGTAAGGCGGGCTTCACATGAACTGGATCTATAAAGCAGCAGGCAGTCTGTAGATCTCTACCTGGGATGGCATGCTGTCATTTGCAGTTCCTCTGAAACTTTTGAACCTTAGGATATACAAACCTGCATTTAATTGATTAAAAGTCTCGCCGGGTGTAGGTGTCACATGACTCGGCTCTCTGACACCCCAGCAGGTTGAAGTAATGCCAGTAATCCCACACCTTGCTAATATCACAGGTAGCAGACACCTGATCTGTGGCAGCAGCATTGCACTCTGACAACGAATGGACTTGTCCGTTAACTGTGCAGTTCACTATATTAATATATGATTATATGGTGTTATAATTATGGCTAATGAGTGAAAAGAAAAGCAACGTTTAAACAGACAGCACTGTAGTAATATGAGTAGTGCCCTTGTCTAGCAGCGCTGGGGCCCTCTGTTCAATTCTCACCCCTATCTGCATGGATTTGGCTTGTCTTCCCTTGCTTGTATTATTATTATTATTATTGTTGTTGTTGAAGGGGTTTACATTGAATTCCTTTCACAATGCGAAAGATTCCGCAAGGTTAACTGTGAGAATGTGTGACAGTGACAAAGACATTAGATTGTAAGCTCTATGGAAGTATAATGGGAATGACCAGTCTACTTCATAAAGCTTCAATAAATATAAAGTGCATATTTTTGCAACTATAGAATATATATTTTTTGGAAATAGACTAAAGCAGATGTCAAGTAATAAAAAATGATCTCTTAAATACATACTGCTTTGCTGGAAAAGGCCAATCAGTGCCCCTGCCTCCAACAGAGCACGCCCCCTGCCATGGTAGAGAAAAGGAGATGGCAGGGAAGTGGCAGCCATTTGAACCTGGAAGGAGTCCACTGGTACATTGTATGTTAATACACTTTTAAAAGGGCCTGCCCCTCTGCCTGCCCCCTTATTGCACACTGCCGTCTATTCTAAGCAATAGAAGCTGCCTGTACAGTCCTATCTATAATCTGCTCCAAAGCAACCAATAGAAAGGTGAGATATATTTATTATTATTAATATTTTCTGTATGTTGTGTGAATGGGAACACATAATATATAGTGGGGGGCTTTCTCAAATTAGCAAAAGTGGTAATACTGTCACTCTGTGTTGTGTTGGTTGGCGTTGCAAGATCAATGTTAAGTGAACTTAAGTTAATAGGTTATAATGGATTATTGCAATTTGAGAAGTGAGACTTCCAATGCTGCAAAAGAAATGGCTAGACTCTTAGGCCCCATTCACACTATGTGATTTGGAATTCCTACAGTATCAGCAATCCCAAATCTCCCATTCAGATGTGGCTGCTGTCATCCGTTCAAGTTAAACTGACACTAAACTCAGGAGTTAAATCTTAAAAATACATTCAAGTACCTTAACTAATAATAAAAAATAATCCTATTTGTGTATCACTCGGCTGTAGACACTCAAATCATCTCTGAATTGGCGCTGACACTGTCCTTCCTTCTGGAGGGGGGCTACTTTTGTTCCCCATGGTCCCTGTGTGTGTTGTAAAGTAGTCACCGCTCCAAGCTCGCTCCTGTGATGGACTACAATCTCATGTTTAGTTTATTAATTTGTATTGAGGTTGTAGTCCATCACGGGAGCGAGCTTGGAGTGTTCGAGTTCACGTTTGACCTGTAACAATAGTAAATAATAAATGCGTTGTTCAATCTTTTGTTACATATTGAAGATTCAGGAAAGCAAATTTCGGAAAGCAAGTCCAGTTGTGGATGTTTCACAAAACATAAATTCTTCTTTTTGCTTCCAGCTATTTGGAGATTGATATAGAACTGGAAGATGTCGGAATTCTGGTTAATTTCTGTCCCCGGGGATAAAACCAATCTGACAGCCCTGGAGAGAATGAATACCGTGACAACCAAAGCCAGCCTGTCCGCCAATTCAAAATTTGTAATACCCGATCTGAAGGTGAGCAGACAAGTCGTAATATTGTAGACGTTCAGGTAGGGGAAGATCGATATGTTGAGCGTTGTGATCTGTACCAACTTGCTCAGCCTGAGCCAAAGTTCACGTACCCAATGACTATTTCTAGGTGAACTCTTGAGATCGCAGACCTGTGAAAATGGCTAATAATTTACACAACAGATTTTTCCTGCAGATTTGATTTTGAAAGGAGAAAAAAAAACCTCTCCTGATTTAAAATCCAACTTTGAGCTATACAATATAGCAGCTATGCCAGGGGGTTTGCAAACCCCAGCCCTCCAGCTGTGCTAAAAACTACAAATCCCATGATGCATCTGTCTCTGGGAGTCATGCCTGTGGCTGCGAGATTCTAGCACTGCCTTATGGGATTTGTAGTTCCACAACAGCTGGAGGGACAGAGTTTGCCCATTCCTGTCTTATACTATATCCTTGTAATCAGAATATGTCTGTGAAGGTTCTCATTCATCCAGGTCATGGTATATCTGTAAAAAATAAGTCAAGGCAACTGGACTTGCTGTATTTTTCTTGAAGATGTTTCACTGGCCATCCAACCAGCTTTCTCCATTCTGAATTGAGAAAGCTGGTTGGATGACCAGTGCAACGTCTTCAAGAAAAATACACTAAGTCCAGTTGCCTTGACTTATTTTTTACAGATATACTTGTAATCAGAAGAAATTCATGTGAAATATCTGGTGCTAAACAACTTACTTAAAAGTTGTGATAAGTTACAGGATTTTGTTTTCTAATTTTTCCTGATTAAAACCCATCCCTCTGTTCCCCCCTTCCTTTTCCACGTGATAAAAACCTAAAACAAAAAAAAAACCCTAGACCACACGAGAAGGGAATTAATCCAAATCTATATCAAAGTTGCTACCCTGTTTTAATGGTTACAAAGTAGTTAATTCACATCGGAGCAAGTACCCATCATGGGCAGGGCCCTCCTTACCATCTTGTCTTGAATTGTATTGTAATGTCTTCCTTATATTGTGCAGCGCTGCACATACTGTTGGCGCTATATAAATCCTGTATAATAATAATAATTTATACTTTTTAATGCTCTCAAATGAGACGTCATTTTCTTTTTCTTCCTTGTATCAATAGTTTGTTTTAATCCAATAAATAAAGAACACAGAATGTTGGTACAGGAAAGAAAGAATTTAGAAAAAATCGAAATAAAGAACATATATATCTAAGAATTGAACCAGATTTATTTATTTATGTATTTATTACAGGTATTTATATAGCGCCGACAATTTATTCCTTTGTTTCCTACAAACAAGATGTACAGTATATGTCTTGACAGACAAAAGCTAGAAGTTATCATGTGTGCCCCCCGACACATCTCTGATACAAAAATAATAAAAACAAATAATAATAATAGTAATTAACAAAAGGTAATTAATGAATGAATCGTTTAAAACAAGCTTTAGGAGTTCAAGTTAACCTGTCATAAAAAAACTTTAAGACTAGCATTGTGACCCCTTTTTTTTAAATGTTGCCTGGTTGTCATGCTGATCCAATGGATTAAGTATGCGGATAAAGATTATTGTCTTATCTCTGACTTTGCAGATGTTTGCTTTGGGTCGGTGAGTATTGAAGTGGGTTAGAAGAGCAGCTAGGCCACCAGCATTTTCAGAAAAAGATCAGCAATTGCAGCCCCTGTATTTCCATCACGGCAGGTTTATTTTGAGGAAGGTGGGGTTCTGGGAATTAAAAGGTAAAAAAAAAAAGGTTTACTGAAAACAGTGCTTCTTTGTAGTAAATGTGTACAATATTCACTTCACAACAGCGAGGAAGGTGTTCCCAACACAACCTGATTTGTTGTTAAATTATTTGCAGTGAAAACAAGAAGTGACCTTTATCTCTCATCACACTCCTGACATCACGCTACAGTCAGAATAAAACTAAAAAGTTTTTTTTTTGTATAATAAGTATTTATTGGAGAAAAGTTTTGCAGATAAAAAAAAATAAACATGTTTATTTTTGTTTATCTAAAAAGTTTAATATTTGATTTAAGTTCAAAGCTCATTTTTTTTAATTTAACATTTTTAAAAACTCATCTTTTTACATTTTTATTTTAAATGTAGGTGCAGCCAACATTCTTTAATAGAGTTGGGAAGGATTAGAACCCATGTACAATAAAATGTATGTTTATTTAAAAAAAAAAAAAACAGCATTTATTTTTATATTTTATTTTTTAATAGAGTTGGTAAAGGATTTGAACCATTGCACAATAATACTTATTTGAAAAGTTTAATATTTGATTTAATTTAAAACTCATTCTTTCTTAAATTCTACATTTGTAATATTTTTTTTTTATGTATGGTTATTAAAAATAAACTGTAGGAAATGTTCCCTCGCTTCCTGTCTGGAGAAACCATTGTCATTTGACACTATAGCTGGCCATACTCAGATTATATTTTGTCCATTTCCTCATGAATCGGCCAAAATTTGATCAGTGGGGGGTCCTGCCAGCACCACCCAGCTCAACAATACTTGAGTTTTCAGGGTTTGTTGACACCATATGCAGTGCGTTCCGGTCCGATTCTGGCCGGAACGCACTGCACCTCATTGCAGCCGGCTCATTTTTTTGTGGGGCAGAAGGGGGCGTGACGGGCCATTGAAGTGAATGGCACCGAAGCCACGCCCTCCTCCCGAAATGCGAGCGCCCCCACGGAATCGCAAGGCACATTGTGCCTGGGGTCCGGTGCGCTGCAATCAAAATTCTGCAAGCACTACTTTGATCGCACCGGACCGTACCGCAGGCACAATGTACCTTGCGATCCCGTGCGGACGATCTTATTGCGGCCGGAGGGCGTGGCTACGGTGCCATTCACTTCAATGGCCCACCACACCCCCTCCTGCCCTACAAAAAAAGTGAGCCGGCTGCAATGCGGTGCAGTGCGTTCCGGCCAGAATCGGACCGGAACGCACTGCATATGGTGTCAACTAACCCTCAAAGTTCCTTCATAATGCCTTTTAAGTAAAATACATTCTCTCTTAAGTTGGGCCAATGGGCAATCCATGAGGGGGGTCCCGCCGGCAAACTTTGATTGCAAATAGGAGGGAAATTTGCAAGCCAAACATTTACTGCAGCCACTGTAGGGCACGGCCGTCATGAGCGCTGCCAGCCAGAATACAATAGCCAGCAGGGAAGGGGAAAAAAATGGGACCTTGAGAAGAAATAAAAAACCAACAGGGGTTCCAATTCTTCTCCACTCTAAAAACTTATTCTTAACATTTTGGGTCCTTGTGTTTTTTTTAATGAAAAGTGGATGTTTTTGGTAATCTATTATAGCATCACCCTGCTTTGTAGATATGCGTTCTAGAAGCTGGTATGCTCGTTACATTGTAACTGTTAGTATTGCTGTGCTTTATTAAAGTTTAACTTAGGCCAAATCCTTTTTTTTTTACATTTATATTTATATTTTTATACTAATAATAATAGAACAAAAGAGGGCTAGAACCTCTGTTACATTTTTTTTTTAAATTGCTGTCTTTGCTGTTTCAATATCTTTTCTCTTTCTGCTCCTCTCTCTCCAATGGGGCCACAGACAAAAATAAAAAGACACTTCTTCAGTAATCGGATTTGTTTTTTTTTTGCTGTGTACTTTGTGGGATACCTTATTTCCTGTCCTGCTGACCAGGACAGGAAGTGAGTAGAGATCTTTCCAGTGTGAAAACACAAAGTGCACAGATCACCCCTATTATGCGTCCCCGCAATCCATATTCGGTGCACGGATGACTCTCATCCGGAGTAATAGACTCAAAAACTGTGGAACCAGCACACGATAATCTTCCAAAGAAATTCAAACTTTATTCCACATGCATCTGTACAAAGCACAATCTTTCCAGTGTGGACCTGAAACAAAAACCTGAAATATGTTATTACTTTTTCTTATTCTGTCCAAAAAAAAATAATATGAAAAAGACCGGAGTTCTAATTCATTTTAGTTGTTGTTTAGCTATGAGAATGAGCACATTTTAATTTTAGCAAGCTGCTTTATTAATTTGATACAGCTGCTCACACTGTAACTTTTTTTATTTTATTTTTTTAAATGTATTTATTATTATATATATATATATATATATATATATTCAACTAATTTATATATGTGTGATGATATTTTCATATAGAATGTGAACATTACTTTTCATTTTTGGATATGGATTACAATTATCTTCTCATACAAATATACTTTATTTCCTGAACAGGTGGGGACCCTGGACGCGTTGATTGGACTGTCGGATGATCTGGGCAAACTGGATGTCTTTGCTGAAGGGTAAAGCGTCATTTATTTACTGTACACAAGGTCGGAGGGGCCTGCAGTTTACACATACACACAGATCCTGACTGAACCAAACCCGTGCCTGGTTCTCTCGATCTAGAACTAAACACAAGTGGCTGGGATCTGTCACATGCTTGTTTACAAGTGTGTACACTAATCACAACGGAGGAGAAGGACATGAGTGACTTGGTGCTACAGAGAGCGGCAGCCATGCTGGGACTATGGTTGCTGGTTTGGCTCATAATTCCCAACGCTTCCTTTTTTTGGAAGGACATTCAGTTTTTTTGGGCCTACATTGCCTCCATAATTATCCGTGGCCTTTTAACTCTACTAGATGGTCAATGTCACTCCCAATAAACGTTATTTCAAAGGCACAAGTCTGTCCCTACAAGTAAGCCCATATGGGAGAAATGCAGGGACTGCGACGTGTCTTGTTCATAAAGTTTATTGCAAGAGACGTCGCCGACAGTGCAACCGCCTGTACGAATTGTCTACATCAAGGGTGGGCAAACTCCAGCCCTGCAGCTGTGGTGAAACGTCAAATCCCATCATGCATCTGTCTCTGGGAGTCATACCCGTGGCTGTGAGAATCTTGCAATGCCAGTTCCACAACAGCTGGAGGGCCGAAGTTTGTTCATCCCTGGTATGAAGTGGAAGTGAGCTCTTGTGGTTGGCCCATGTCAACCAATCAGCTTCTCTCTTTCATTTTCAAAGCTTAACCGAACAAACTAAAGAGAGAAGCTGATTGGTTGACATGGGCAACTGCTCCAGAGTCTGTCTGTTCCAGTTTTGATAAATTCCCCTCAATGTATTTTAGGAATGTAATGTTTATAAAGTGTTTATATGTTTATATATCAATCATTTCCTCAATACAGTATTTGACTGGAAAGGTTATGCACTCAGACAGTACACGGACCCGTGTTTTGTCAGGATGTGTAGTCAGGGCCGTCCCCATAATGAGGTAGCCAGATGCTGTTGACTCGGGTGGCATCTCTGTGGGTCATGTGGAGGGTGCAACAGGCAGAGTGTCATGGCCGCTCTGCTGCACAATGTTTGCAGTGTGCCTGCTTCCCTTTTTCCGTCCAGAGCATTCTAGACCAAGACCAAGTGCCTGACTTTTCAGAGAGGGGGACATTTTGGGGTAATTTTTGTGTCACCCCTCCAATAGTGTCACCCGGGTAAGGGCTGCAACCCCCCCTCCTGAACCCCCTTAGTGATGTCACTGCTCCACCAGCAATCCCCCCCACATGCACTATGAGGACAAACCTTAACAATCCATTAAATTTACTATAAAGTCCGGCTGGTCCTTGTACTACATAATGGTAGATCTAAGGATGATTGTACATTCAGATTGTATAGTTTCTGGTCATCCCTAGGGTCATCATACATGTTACAAGCTGGTTGTACAATCTCTATAAATCCACTTTAGATTCAGCTCAGATATGTCGGTCAGAACCGCATTTAGTCCTTGTCCAGCTCAGATATGTTGGTCGGAACCACATTGAGTCCTCGTCCAGCTCAGATATGTCAGCCGGAACCGCATTTAGTCCTTGTCCAGCTCAGATATGTCGGTCGAAAATGCATTTAGTCCTTGTATTTTGTTCTCTATGACTCTATGGTATGCAACTTCAATAAGCTTTATACTGAACACTGGATGATAATGTATGTGTACCCAATGAGAGCACTGGCAGTCCCGTTGATTGTGAACTGTCCACTTGGGATCACATGTGAATAGTGTATCGGCTATTTGTAAACAGTAGAGCACAGGACTGAAGTCCCTAAGCTGTGTAAAATGTGTGCAATAAAAGTAGACTGCTCAATATTTAATCAGGAAAATAATCGGAGCATCCCTTACTGGAAGAAGGTAAAATGAGGTGACCTTGTGAGGCAGCCCGGCCACTGACTCACTCCATGCTAACACCAATGACTCAGAGTTGTGTATTGTTTTCTATGTGTATGCCCGTCATATCACAGGTGCCCCAGATGTATGGATCTTCAGTGTTGACCACCGATGTCACTACAGGGAGATAAAAAAAGCTGCTGTCTGAATGAGAACCTTCATACTTAGGGGTACATTTATAAAGCATAGAGTTTGACATTAAGCAGACATTCTCTGCAGGTGAATCTTCCAGGTCCTTGTGTTTTAAATGACCGTTGATTCTACACCAGAGGATGTTTTGTGCAGTGTATGTATACTGTATATATATATACAGTATATAGGAAAACTTCCTGTGTATCATAGATAAGCATGCATATAGAATCTAACATTGCACTACAGCGACATCTACAGCTCAAAATACATATTAGTATATCAGTATATGCTGTTGCATTTCCAACAGTTAGTACCTGTGTCAATTTTTTTTGCCCTGGCTGGGTAGATTCACCTTTTTTATTTGTCTAGGTGACCACTGTCACTGAGGCAGAAACTGATGGAGATCCCACATTTTACTGTTCTTACCAGAACGAGTGGAACAGGATAATCATCCAATAGTGACACCTGTATCCGTGATAACTGTCTACGAGAGGATTATATTTAACTTTGGAGAGAATCCTTCGTACTTCCAACTGTGGTCCAGGAGAGGAAGTAAAGAGAAATTAACCCAACGGGACACAGATAGGAAATGTAAAGCCTATCTCCAGTTAAATTAAAAAAATCGACCTTTTATACAGTTTTGGATGAAGTGGGGAAGGGTTAAATAGCACCTCGGTCAAGTTTCACTACTATCAAGGACACCGTTGGAGAGATTTACCCACACTTCCTTTCCTGTCCTGCTGCCCTCTGTTGTAGGATGTTTAGCTCATATATGCTATGTTGATCATATTTGGCTAATCTGCCTTTACCATAATTACGTAGTTACATAGTATTTGAGGTTGAATAAAGACACAGGTCCATCAAGTTCAACCTTTGTGTGTGTGTGTGTGCGCATGTGTGTATACGAGTCCCTGTGTGGTAGTATTTAAGAGTACCTGTACCCCTGTATGTTACGGTCTCTTAGGATGGTATCTAATTGATTTTTGAATGATTCAATACTCTCTGCTGATACCACTGCTTGTGTCATTGTGGCAGTGAGTTCCATAATTTAACCACTCTGACTGAGAAGAAGCCTACGCCCCTTGTGGTTAAATCTTTTCTCTACTAATTTTAGGTGGTGGCCTCTAGTCCTTGTTAGGGAGTTTACAGTAAAGTTTACTGATGATGTTGCCATCACCACCCAACATTTTGTACATCAAAATCATGTCCCCTCCTAATCTCCGCACTTCCAGCGTGAACAAGTTTAAATTTAGCAACCTTGTCTCATAGCTTAGGTCCTCCAGCCCCTTAATTAGTTTTGTTGCCCTTCTCTGTACTGTCTCCGCTCAAGGGCATCTTTTCTGTGGATTGGTGACCAAAACTGGACCGCATACTCCAGATAAAGCCGAACCAGTGGGCCGTCTGGGTCGCTATGGCATCCTCTGCTGGTGGCTTTCACTGGCGGCTCTGAAGAAGAATGTGCTGCTGTTCAGATCACTGACAGTAATCTGTGCAGCAGCGCGTTCCTCTCCATAGAGTCAATGAGAGCCAGCAGCGGCGGTAGAGCAGGCTGGACAAGGCAGTGGAGGAGGAGGCGGGGCCCGTGGTCGGCAGCAGGGGAGGTGCCCGGTGACGGAGGAGGAGGCAGGGCCCATCAGCGACGGTGGAGGAAAAGGAGGCGGACAGGTAAGGAGTGCGACCAACCCACCTGAGGGTGACCCTGCAGAGCCCACCATAGAGTGGGCTCTGCAAGGGGTATAACTAGAAATCACAGGGCCCCATACCAAATTTTGCTATGGGGCCCTGTGATTTCTAGCCAGGCCACTGTGCATGACAGTACCCTGTTAGCTTTGTTTGCCACAGCCTGGCATTGCGTGCTGTTATTCAATCTGTGGTCGACTATGACCCCCAAATCTTTTTCTTAATTGTTTGATGTATGAAATGCATTCATTGCATACACTATAAACTCTAAAATGCACTTGTTGAAACAAAATTCCAACAAATTCCAAATTCTTCCATTTATATGCTTTGATTTCATTTTTATTCACATATACATAATCGGTCATGTGAAACAATATTTCTGTCCTAGCCAACAGAGCATACTGGAACTTGCAGTCCTACTTCTGGTGAGCTCCTCCTTTTATCAGAGTCTATATTGAGTTGTTATATACATTATATGGAAGCCAGGGATCAGGTCTGGTGTTATCAAGCAGTCAGATCCTGTCAGCAATGTTCCCAGCCGGTATGGGAGAGGAGCTAGAGGTGCTCAGACTGATGTTCCATCTACTGTCATTATTTATTTACGGTGGGCAGTCTTTGAGTGTTTTTCCATGTCTCTCTTGGACAGTGAACGGGTTTTTGAGGCTTCGTGTCCTGTTCCACTTCAACTTACTTTACTTACATTCTTACATTCAGACTGATGACTGAGCTATTAGGCAACAAAAGGGCACTTCTCCTGCCTACAGTACTGGCAAAGCAGCAACCCTTATCTTGGGATTACCAGGTCAGACAATACTCATTTTCATGACTGTTACCTATTTACAGCCTTCATCTCCATAGATGTTATGTGTTATTACTAATATATTACTGATTGTGATCCTATACTTCTGAAAACACTATTCTGCCTATTATCCTTCTCACACTGGTGAACTTGCAGCACTGCATGGGTTACCTGCCCCATCTGTTACAAGGAATGATCAGCCCCGCTCATCTTCCCATTCTGCCTCCCATTGTCCATTCACAAAACTCCTAGTATTATTTTCACAGAAAGCAGCCTGTGGATGGACGAAGGCTATCCTGTCCTTCATTCACATGCCTTTGTGGCTTCAGGTGTTTCCAGTGAAAAACACTGTTAATGCTTCAGCATGCAAAGACATTTAGACAATTGTCCCCTTCCAATTTTGTGGCAATGGTTTGGGAAAGGTCTTTTTTGGTTTCAGCATGACTGTGCTCCTGTGTACAAAGTCAGCCTCATAAAGACATGGTTTGTCAATTTTGGTGTGGTGGAACTCAAATAGCCTACACAGAACTCTTACCTCAACCCCAAGTGAAAATTTTTGTGATGAACTGAAATGCCATTTGCAAGTTAAGTCTTCAACAGCAGTACCTGACCTCACAAATGCTCTTTTGACTGAATGGGCAACTCTATATATAAGTGTAATTAAAGTCCATTGCACCTACCTCCCCAGCTATGCTATACCTTATCGCCAACGCCTCACCCGGTCTTTTTCTGGGTCCATTGTCTTTTGCCATCTTAATTGGCTGGCTCAGTTTTCATTCTGATTCAACCTTCTAGCAGGAAAATAAGAATCATTTATTGCAGAAGAATCTCTACTGTCTACATGTGTCAGGGTTGCCCTTGGTTCCACAAAGAGTCCAAAAAACGAGGTACAGAGGGAACATCCAAACGCATAGTCAGGTCCAAGTTCGGGTCGAGGCAGGCAGCAAGGTTCAGAAGCGAGGAGGCAAGCCGAATGGTCAATAACGGGGGTTCAGGCAAGGGTTCAGGAAGCAACAGGTTTACACACAGGGAGCTGGACGATCACACCATAGAAGTAGAATAACTCAGCAATCAGCCAATGCTCTGTCTGGTTTAAATACACAGGGAACCCAAGGACCACACCCTGGTTGCCGAGGCGACCCGGAAGCTTCCCTAACCAGGAGCCAATAGCAGGGCTGACTGGGCGGATGGTGTGTGCTGGGGACTTCCTCCAACCTGGCTAGCACCTGAAAGCACTAAGTGGCGCAGGCGCGCTACGCTCGCGCCCCGTGCACGCAGCTTGTGTACTATGCGCGCACGTCGCCTCGCATTTCGGGCATTTCACGCATGCAGCCCAGCGGCCCCGCCACCAGGAGTTCTGCCAGGAGGACGGGAACCCAGTGCCCTGCGCCACCGCTGGCGAGCCTGGTTAGGAGCAGCACCCCTGGTTCCCTCACAACCTGTTGGCATTTTTAACAGGATAGTTCATCTGTAATGCCTATGGTTTTGTAACTTGATGTCCAACAATTTCATATAGATGTTATGGTCAGATGTCCACAAACTTTTCACCATATACTGTTTATAGTAACCACTGGGAGGAGCACTGCAAATAAACGTGTCTTACCAGTATGGCCACCATAATATTCATTTTTAGTTATTTTTGGCTGGACCTCTGTTATAAGAAGATTACTCAGTATTTATAAGTTCCAGATCCGGCATTGTTTCAAACATACAAATGTATCTGTATATTTGATAAACTGACTTCTTATACAGTAGGTGGTATATCTTTTGGTTTAGTTTTAAATAAATAAAAGTGAATCCACGACGATATGATCATATTGTACAACCTTCTCTTTTCTAGTATTATCAAGAAGATTGCTCAGTATATAGGAGAAATCATGGATGATGCTGCAGAGAAAGCCCAGGAAAACCTGCTGGCCAATGGAGGTAGGTAGGCCTGTTAGATAATCAGAAGTTATCAAGTGTATGGACAATTATAGAAGCATAACCGCCATCCTGTATAAATAGCTAATACCAAAAATAGCTCCTTGTCCGGCAAAAACATTGTATTTTCAGCATTTCGCCCAAAGTACCATTTTCGGCTGCTGAAAATTTAGTGCATCCCTACTTGATATGCCTCAGTGCACACTATTTTGACTTATTGCAAATTCTTATGCTATGGTTCACTTGCTGTACAAATTGTATGTTTTAATGGCATTATGAATAATTTCGTGAGTTTAATGAATTACAGGACCAGTGAAAACATCACCTGCTTTTCCTGGCATTATTTCTGCCTATACAACTGACACGGGGGGGGGGGGGGGGA